GCTAGGGAACTTTCTCTCGAATCTCCAGACCATTCATACATGTGTCTCTGAAAATTATCTATAAGCTATCTATTCTTTCTCTATCGTTCTCCATCCTCCAAAGACTGTGGTGTACTCGATTGCATTCCAATAATATAGACAAGGCTATCTCTCTACGTCCATCTGCAAACATATTTGTTTGGTGACTTCAGTGCCCACCATACGAAATGGCTTAAACACTCTGTAACTGACCTTCCTGGCATAAAAAAAAATAACTTTTCAATCTCTCAATATCTTACACAAGTAGTTGACTTTCCCACGCGTTTCCCCAGTAACCATGATGGTAAGGCTTCCCACCTTGATCTCTGTTTTACCTCCATCCCCGAGTCTTGTCGTGCCACCCAGCTCTGCCCTCTTGGCAACTCTGATCATGCCGTTGTGTCTATTTTCATCTCCTTCTACTCCTCCCCCAGTAAAGAACCTTCTACCAACAGAACATCTTTCTATTATCAACGAGCAGATTGGGATTCGTTCCGAGATTTCCTTTGTGATGTCCCCTGGAATACTGTCTTTAACCTCACGGTCCAAAAATGTGCGTCTGAGGTCTCATCCTGGGTAAAAGCTGGAATCGAAGCTTTCATCCCTACAAGAAAAAAGTGTAATCACATTCATCCCCTTGGTTCTCAGGTGCTTGTTCAGCAGTTATTGCCCACAGGAATCACTACTTCCGTCTATATCATAGAGACATCTGACTACAACAGACGTCTCTTTGTCACTGCTCGTAACGAGTGCAAGCATGTCCTCAAAGAAGCAAAGGTACTCTTTGCCGAAAGAATGAATCAACGTATTGCGTCTTGCAAGTTTGGTTCAAAAGATGATTGGCGGCTCTGTAAAAGCGTGCTGAACAACAGCAAACCCACAATACCCCGCTTTATTCAACCAATTTGAGGCCCTGACCTCCTCAGCTGATAAGACTGAATGATTTGCTCGTAAGTTCTCATCCAATTCAACACTAGACTCATCTGGTGTACCCACACCGAACTCACCCCACTCCCGAACTGAGGCTCTATTGAGTGAGATACATATAACCCCAACGATGGTATTGGACACCATCTCTAAATTAGACTCTCATAAAGCTAGTGGTGGGGACGGGATACCGGCCATTGTCCTGAAGAAATGTGCTCTTGAATTGGCTCCTGTTCTCTCTAAATTTTACAACTACTGCCTCACCGACTCTTGCTTTCCAGCCTGTTGGAAGTTCTCATCTGTTGTGTCTGTCTTTAAGAACTCTGGTGACCCTTCTGACCTGTCCTACTAGTCTCCTACCACTCTTCGGTAAAGTCTTCGAGGCTTTAATCAACGCCGAAGTGGTTAAGCACCTTACTTCACATAATCTGCTCTCCGACAAGCAATATGATTATCGCTTTGTCCGATCTACAGCTGACGTGCTCACGGCCATAACTGAATTGACATACCAAGCACTCAACAATAATGGAGAAGCTCGAGCCGCGGCTCTAGATATCTTTAAAACGTTTGATAGGGTTTGGCATGCTGGCCTTCTTGGTAAGCTTCAGGGATACGTTATTACAAGACGATTATTTGACTTAATACAATCATTTCTGTCAAATCGTGAAAGGAATGTCGTCCTAAACGGGTTCTCTTCCGGCTAACTTTATCACGAACGTTCGTGCTTCCCCAAGTCTCTATCTTCGGCCCTACATTGTTCCTGATGTTCATCAATGACCTTCCCGGTCTCATCATTTCCCAAGTTGGCAACTATGCGGATGACGCCACTATTTACTCCTGACTCAATAGTAAATCTGGTATCGTTGACAAAACTAACCTGGACCCCCAATCTGTGGTTGACTGGGACAAGAAAAGGCTTGTAAACTTTAATGCCTCCAAAGCGAAATTGCTCTCCATTACCCACCACAGAGAACCCTTCCTGCCTCCCACGAGAATGGCTGATTCCCGACTCCTTGAGAGCGACTCCTTACACCTTTTTGGTCTCACGCTCTCCACTAACATGAGGTGGAATAAATACATTGAATCAATAGCTTTATCTACCACAAGGAAAGTTGGTTCTCTGTGTCGTGCCATAAAGTTTTTCTCACCTGAGACCATCCTTCAAATCTATAAATCAACCATCCGTCCTTGCATGGAATATTGCTGTTATATATGGTCTGGTGCTCCCGCTGTACGTCTCGAGGTCTTCTACAAAATCCAGAGACGAATATGCAAGACGATAGTTCTTGATCTGGCATCTAGTCTACAATCGCTATCCCAAGATGTGCCGTGGCCTCCCTCTGTCTCTTCTACAAATATTTTCACGGCAACTGTTCCGACAAGCTACTTTCTCTGTTTCCCGGACTACATGAATTTAAACGAGATACCAGGCTGGAATCTCGGTCCCACCCTTTCACTGTCAAAACAGTTAAATGTAACCGTCTCTTCTACTCACACGGCTTCTTCTCCCGCAATTCCTGTCTGTGGAACTCCCTTCCCTTAACTTTCTTCTCTG